TTTTTTTCTGCATACCTCTTAATTCGAAGGGTCAGCTGGTCTCTCAACAAAATTGATCAACTTCTCCTGACAGGCGTCAGGGTAAGGAGGACCCTGTTACCTCAACGGAAACAAATTGGATTCACGATGACAATTGGTTATTTTGTTGTTTGGCTGGTGAATTCTGGATTGTCTATAAATTCGTGTGGATGTGTCGAATCTCGACAGTGCTCAGACTGAATTTGTGGATCTGCAGCAGGGAGCTTGAGCAGCAGTTATCAGGACTGCAGACTCTATAGCAGCACACCATCCATCCATCCATCCATTATCTTTACCCGTTTATTCCATTTTGGGTCACGGGGGTCGCTGGTGCCCATGTCCAGCAATCACTGTGCGAGAGGCGGGGTACACCCTGGACAGGTCGCAAGTCCATCACAGGGCCACATAGAGACAAACGAGACAAACAACCATTCACTCTCTCACTCACACCTAGGGACAATTCAGAGTTACCAATCAGCCTAACATGCATGTTTTTGGACTGTGGGAGGAAACCGGAGCACCCGGAGAAAACCCACGCATGCACGGAGAGAACATGCAAACTCCACCCAGAAAGGCCCCTGGACCGGGGTTTGAACCAAGGACCTGCTCGCTGAGAGGCAGCAGCTCTACCAGTTGCGCCACCGTGCTGCCCTATAGCAGCTCACATGAAGGGGAAATAATTTTGGAGAAGCTGTGAGCTCAACTTTGGCGTATAGGATCAATTCGGCTTTTTTGGAGTTCAATCATAGGAATATATACCAGCGAGACTTTAAAAGGCAGAAACAACAATTCACGAGTTCTGCCTGACTCAAATTGTGGCCTTGATGTCGGACTTATCTCAACTCCTCCTGGAATGTTTTGAAAACAACAAAGATGCTTTGACAGTTTCCTCACCCCTCCCTTCCCCAAGGCCATGGACGTGACAAAACCTCAACTGAGCTGAAGATTAACGTCACCTCTTATCTGGACAATGGCTGAGAGGGGGGTTCTGGACTATGCTACGACTTTCCCTTAAAAATTCAATGTTTTCAACGCCTATATGTAAATGTATAACGTCTGTTTATGTTGCTTTGCTGTGGTAGTTTTTTTGATGCCTCAAATCGTGCCCTGTCTAGGACACAACGTGAAAGATCTTTTTTTATACCGTCTCTCCTCATGTTTTCTTAACTTTTCTCATCTAAGCAAAATATTATTCTGAATAAGAATAAGAGGGCCCCGCTTTCTATAGTTGCAGCTTCATGCACTCCGCCCATCTTCGGACGACTGTACGTACATGTTCGCATTGTATCTCGGTGCAATGCCAATAAAGTTTATTCTGATTCTGATATATATGTATATATTTATATATTGTATGTATATGAATATATGTATATGTATGTGTGTATATGTGGGATATGTGGTATATATATGGCGCAAAGGTTAGAAGATGGGCCTGTGATCGGAAAGTCGCAGGTTCAACTCCCGGTACCGTCAACATCAAAATGTGGGTCGAAAAGGTGGAACACACACACCTGCCTCCACCCTCATTCGCCCCACCCTGGGTCCCCGAGCAAGGCCCTTAACCCCCACCATCTGCTCCCTAAACAGGTGATATAAGAATGATTATTTTGATGCTTTTATGTCAATTTATACTTATTTTGTACTCATTTTATATGCAGCTTATCTGTGCAAACCAGGCCTTGTGCTGCAGAAGGTGAGGTGATTCGAAGGAATGAAAATAAGCCTCCGGGAGTGTTCTTACCAAAAGATCTGGCCAGTCTTACGATTACAACGACCCGGAGTTTGCTGTAAACAGGTCTTTCATCCACCCACGACCTTGGGTTTGAAAAACATGTTTTTATGAGCCATCGCTCTGCTGTACAAACTGCCTTGATGATGGAAAACATGTTTTGCTCTGCCCGCACGTCACCCAGTCAGAGGGGGAGTATAAAAGTGTAACACTCAGAATAATAGTTGAAGTCTGTTGTGGGTCCGGATCCGATGCCCAGCCTAATTGATGTTACCTTTCTACTCGGACTGAAAACGGCTTCCTCGGTCTGGTGTCACGGTGAGGGGCTTTAAATCAATGCTTGATTTGTACTGAATGTACGTTGCTTTGCTGTATCTGTGGCGGTTTAATAAATGACACTTATTATTCTAGCAGAAAACAGCCTGAGAGTTTTCATTCATTGCTCCGACCTTTCCCTGAACCTGTATCTATTTTGTTTAAGATAATTTCACAGAACAACAGGTCTCTCTTGAAAATGAGTTCTTGTGGCTCAATGAGACTACCTGTATAAATAAAAGGTAAATGAATATGTATGTACGTATGTATATGTATATATTAGGAGTGTAACGGTATGCTAAAAATCACATTTTGGTTAATTTTCGGTACAAAAAAGACAAAATAAAGACTTACAAAATGATTATTTTAAAAATGTGCCAAGTAAACAATACGTTTGTATAAAAATAAATAAAAGCAACTCATTTGGATGATATTTTAAATAAATGGCATTCTTTACAATAAATAAACTATACTAACAATAATGAAAATCTTAATAAATACAATAACAGTCAGAACCAGAACAATAACCAACAACAGACTGTTTACAATCTAACTAATCAAGTTTTAAGTTTTTGGCCAAAAAGACCAACTTGTCCACATTTTCTGCCAAAAGCTCAGATCTAGTTGCAGTGAATATCTCCAGCGGTGGAGAAAACCGCTCACTAACAGTAGCAGGAATAAAGAGGCAGAGCTTTGATAATTTTACAGTGTGGCTGTATTTGGCCTCATTACTCACAACCTCTTGGACCTGCTCCCACAGGTGGGACAGGTCCCTGGAAAAGTTCAGAGTTCAGTCGTCACAGACTTCTTAGCTGGAGGTGATCTCTGATTTCCCTGAAGAGGAAGAAGACTCAGCTGTTATCTCTGTCCCAGACTGGAAATAAAACACAAATAGGTACAAAAAATGAGTTAATAAGATTATAATTTTAAATAAAAAAAAAGTTAATTAGATAATAATAAAAAAGAACAATACCTCTTCTTGAACGGTTGTTATGAGATGGTTGAATCTCTCGGTAATCATCATCATCATCATCACAGCAGGGTTTTAATCTGGTCCAGGGCTTGTTGACAATATCAGTTTTAGCTTTTTCATAAAGTGCTGCTACAACTTTTTGGCTGAAGTGTTGACGTGATGTCGTAGCGAGGCTCAATAACTTTAAAGCCGGCGCATCAACAACAGAAACGTAGATCCTGAGCTTTAAAAACTCCTACAGCTTGTGTTATTGCTCTGGAACGATCTGAATTACCTGATAAAGGTAGTTTAAACGCTGCTGTTATCGGTCTTTGCAACAAGCTGCTAGAAGAGACGTTCACGTTCGGATGATGTCGTTTCAAGTGTGTTAACAAGTTCGACGTGTTGCTGCTGCAGATCCAATCTCCATGAAACAACGTCGACACACAGCTTCGGATTTGTTCACTTGTCTTTTAACAAGAAAGACAATGTTTCCAAACAGGAGACCGCAACGACAAGCTAATGCTAATGCTACGCGTGCTGCAAGATAATAATGCTGTGCTGAAACACGCTTAGGAACTTTAGTTCCGTGGCACATAATCTCTCGTTAATAAAATTTAATTAATGGAAAAATAACCGAAACGGTACGCACATGGACCGAACCGAACGTGTCGTACCGAAACGGTTCGGTACACCCACGTGTACTGTTACACCCCTAGTATATATGTATATGTATATATATATGTATGTATATGTATATATATGTATGTATATGTATATATATATATATATATATGTATATATGTATATATATATATATGTATATATGTATTATATGTATATATATATATATATATATATATATATA